CATGGGTCATTCAGCCATTGTCAGAACACAAGTTTTAACTTAGCTCCTTTAGTGTAGTCACTTTTTATCAACAAGTGGTGTTTCCTAATTACTTTTATAAGAAGATTTGTGACTATAGCATCCCATAAGGAGAACCCTTGATTGATTGATAGTCAATCACAATTATTATAATTTTGTGTTATTTATACACGTTGGCTGTCTTCTGGGTCAGACAGTCCAGCCCACACCTCCAGTCACCATAATCTGAGGAACCATGGTCTTTCTTTTCACTGTTATGCTGATGATTGTCAGATTTATCTGCCCTTAAAACTCAATAGTTCTTGCTCCATTCACCGTCTGTTTTGATAACATCAAGGCATGGATGGCTTCAATTTTTTTCACGTTTTAATGATCAGAAAACAGAAGTCATTGTTTTTGCTGCGGTCTCTGTTCCTTGACTCTCTTCAGTCATGTCTTAAGCAGTCTGTTACAAATCTCAAGATGGCTTTAGACTCAGATTTTAAGTTTAATTAACAGATTAATAACTCTGTTCTGCAGAAAAGCTTCTTCCAGTTAAGGCTAAGCTTAAGTCAGTCTTGACCAGATCCGACCTTGAGAAAAATATTCCATACCTTCATTCAGTGGTGTAGTCTACATTTTTGTAGTGGGTCTACTGTTAGAAACCAATGAACACTGATTAGTACAATGTAATTGTCCATTTGTTTTGAGTTTTAAGCATAATGAACATTTCCAAATTTCTCTGATACTTCTATTTGAATAAATGTACTTTGTACAACAGTTAGCTTTGTATTAAAACATGTAAGAATTTATAAAACGGTACCAAAGCAAAACATGTTTAAGTATTAAGTAGTTAATACAGAATTATACAATAATTTGCTGGATAAGTGAATGTAATAAACAAGCGCTGCATACAGAGATAGATTGTTACAGAAGCATTTTAACTGCCGTTTAACATATCAGTGACACGTGACTAATGATATGTCATGTATCATTGAGCACTTTTAAGTGGGTATGCTGAAATTCTTGTGCGTTTCTAGTGGGTATACTCCGTATACCCGCGTATTGCGTAGACTACACCACTGCCTTCATTGAAACCCGACTTGATTACTGTAAAGTGCTTTATGTTGGAGTCAGTCAAGACTATGAGGTGCCGTGTAGGACATACCAAGAACTCAAAGGTTTGAGCGTATTTCACCAGTTTTGTCCTCCCTTAACCAGCTCTCTGTACAGATTTAAAAATTCTCATGTCTTTAAGTGCCTAAAAGGTCTTGCACCCTCTTATCTCTCTGAGCTACTTCATTCAACCTTATGTTCCTTCATGAGTGAGGTCATCAGACCAGCTGCTTTGGGTTGTGCTAAAAACCAGTCTGAAGCTCAGAGGAGATTGGGCTTTTTCAGTTGCGGGCCCTAAACTCTGGAACAATCTGCCCCCTCCCAACATTAGACAGGCCACTTCACTCCCTGCTTTTAAATCTCATCTGTTTTCACTGATGTTTAACACCGTGAGATTTGAATTAGTATTTTTATTGTTTTGTGTTTTGATGTTTTTCTTTTGATGGTTTTAATTAATTTTTCATATTATTTTTTTTCTTTGAATTTCTGCCATTGATTTTTATTGTTAAGCCCTTTGGTAACAGTGGCTGTTTTTAAGTTTGCTTTACAAAGAAATTTGACTTGACTTGACTATTGACACTCTCAAAGCCAGTAAATGAACCTTCGTTTCTTATGTGAAATGGTCACTGGGGTCAACCACAATGATGACCCCGAAATTAAAAAGACAATGTCATGTTAGCTGTCATGTTACCCAACAGTTTCATAATCATATCATCGCTCAACATCTTGAGTTCAGGGTTGCCCAATTGTGTTTTTAAAGCTTGTTTTGTGTGTAACACAGGATGGTGAAATGCTCATAACTTCTCTTTGCACAATGATAAAGCCTTAAAAATGTGGTTTTGCCCTTTAAAGTTTCACTTGTGTACAATGAGAGAAAAACAAAGTTCATTTTTAGGATTGCCCTCATTCAAAAGTGAAGGCAGACGATATTGATGCCAATGTGGAATAAAAATTGTCAGCAAAGAGTTAAAAAAAATCAATTTGACATGGCAGACAAAACCGCCTCTGTGTGTGAATTTCTGTTCCCACATCTTAGACTGCCTCCCATTATCACATGCAGCAACATGAGCTTTATGAATTACCTTCCTCAGTATGTGATCATTTGCCGCGTATTTAGATTTATGTCTCCCCTCTCAGCCATCATTATCTTTTACAGCAGCATAAGTTTTTATATGAATCTCTGAGATACAGAATTACCTCCATTTGGTGCCTGTTTATCACCGATCTTGCAGCATTCGGATCCTCCGCTCAGGCCGTTTAACATATTTTGAAACGGCTCACGGTTGATGTGGCAACACACACCATATAACAGAGCAGGAGGGTGTGGTTACCTAAATGCTCTCATTTTTACTGCTGAGGAGGGGGGCTGCGAAGGCTTTAATTCAGTGGAAAGTGGTTCTTCTATATTTGTCCCGACTACACAGTGACTCCACCCTCTACACATACCACATGAAGTCACCCCTGCAAGAGAGTTTATGAACGCCGAACCTCTCCTCGTGAGGGCTGCTCCTTTGATTGCTGAAGACCTGGCACCACTTTGGACAGAAATAGAACAACCAGCCTAACCAGACAATGATCTGTTGGTGAGAGTGACGCTGTGCTGAGCTGCAGCACCTCCGCAGAGGCTCAGAGGAATTAATGTTTGAAAACAGGAAAAGGTACTTTTGCATGCGTGAAAAGAGAAAAAGAATAGATGTACAGAAGGACTGGGTGAAATCGTTGCCATTCTGTAAGCGGGTGGGTCAGGTGGACTAAAAAGAGTTAGACCACATATATATAATGTTGGGGTAATTACTAGGTTGGAGGACTTAAATAGCTGGGCCCACAGTGGTAAACACACACTGGCCGGCAGGGAAGCTGCCTCTTTGGTAGCTATCCTTCCATCTTGAATACTTATCAACTCATAGAGCTCTTTACATATCAATTAAAAATGCAAACAAAATTAAAAAAAAAAAAAAAAAACATGTTTAACAAAGTGCAAGTGTTTGTTTTTTAGCAAACTAGATGTACTTCTGCAACACGTCTTTTAATTCAACCAGATTCAAGATGGTCGCCAACTAACCTCAGCAAACACGAAGTTGGCTACAACACAGTTTTGCAGACACTGAGCTAAAATTTGGTGTAGTATTAGCTGAGCATCATCTCCAATGCAATACATTGCACCATATTTTAACTTAAATGTTTGGTATTAACTGTTGGCCTCAACCACATCTGTCTGTTAGTAAAATATCTCATGAACCACTGAATGGATTTCAATGTAACTAGTGTAACTGCTTAAATATGTCATTGTCATCTTCTAAGAGAGCAACATTAAACCAAGGTAAATCCATTTGTTTATTGTACTGATAGTGGTTTAGTTTAAAGTTGATAAGTCTTTTACACAAGTCAGAGTCAAATCTTGTTTTCTGTGATGTGAAACAGACAACTGAGCTGATTTGCATCATTCAAAAGACTTTTTAATGCAATATTTTATGTAAAATGTTGAATTTCCACAAAATTTTTACCTTTTTTATTAATAGTGAAAGTAGATTTATTGCAGAAAAAAGCACTTAGGAAAGACTCAAAATGGGTCAATTTTCTGTCGGGGTCAGAGCATCGGGGCCTCTTTTCATCACCAGTTAGGAAACCTGTATCAACAGACGGATACCTGTCGACAAATCTCACACAATCCTGCAAATCAGCTGCAGTTGGAATGTTAGCTTACAGTACAATCATCAGTTTTAGCTCATGGATCCAAACTGTTCTCAGGATCACCAAAAAGTTAAATCATGTCATCTAGACAGATTCTTCATTTTGAACCACTTTTGGTCAAATTATGCACATCTGGCACAAAAAAACAGGACATAAGCAAAAACTATCTCATCAAACGTGGATAAAACAGCACATTCAACCCTTTAAAAAAAGGAACAAATAAATACCAACAAAGTTCAGTCAGGTCATCTGGATGGTGTATTTTTTTGTTGTTGTTGTTGAGACGTTTCATCCTTCATCCAAAGGACTTCATCAGTCCGAGGAGCCACATCAAACTCAGCCCCACAAGCAGCACACTCACATAGTGGGTCAACCAGTTTGCTGGTGATAAAATGGGTTCTAGGGCACGTCCTCTCCACTGTCGACTCCTCTGAGGCAACATCTCAACAACAACAAAAAAGAAATTGTCCAGATGACCTGACTGAACTTTGTAGGATTTTCTACCTGGATTATTGAGCACGAACTTTGATGTTTTGAACCATTTTGGCTATGGTTGCCTCAGAGGAGTCTATCAGGAGAGGGCAGGCCCCAGAAACCATCTTATCACCAGCAAACTGGTTGGCCCACTTTGTGAGTGTGTTGATTGTGGGACTGAGTATTTTATGGCTCCTCGGACTGATGAAATCCTTAGGATGAAGGACAAAATGTCACAACAAAAACAAATAAACCGTCCAGATGATCTGACTGAACTTTGTTGGAATTTTACGGGATTATTAAGCATGAACTTTGATAAACAAATAAATACATTTGCATGAAGCATCACATCCTAATCTTTAAAACAAAGTAGCTTTGCAAACTTTGGAATTTCCTCTATTCACCGTAGGGCTTGTAAATGCAAAACAAGTCATGTTGTAGTTTCTATGGGTAGAATGCAAGTAGTTCATGTTGCTACGACAGAACCTACCTAACAAAACTGTTTTCCAAACCACAGCTGTATTTCCATTTAGATGTTTGGAAATTAAAAACTGGACAAGGTTGTAAATAAAGCATCAGCAGAACTTCCGTTTCTTTAAAAAAGAGTCCAGTCCTGTTTCACAATGGCTCTTTTAAGACCCTCTGTGTTGGTGGCGTGATCCAAGTACTAAAATATAAAAGATCTGAATAGGAATTAAAAAAAATGTCATAATAAATATAATTCAAAATCCAGCATGGATCCTGTTTAATTTCATCAAAATGTAAACCCTTTATCCTCAATCAGACTTATAGATTTGTCTGTTAGCATCTTTTCACTGCTGATAAATTTGTAGCCAAACAGCTTCAACGTTGGCCCACAAACTCTCTGTACAACCTGGGCTATCTTAAACGGCAGGCTGAACCTCCATTTCTCTACTTGCTCTGAGGAGTTTTTCTGTGTGGAGTACACTCCGCTGGTCTCCCTAGAGGCCTGGGTGTTCTTCAGAATCCAGGATTTGACTTGCGGGGTGAAGGGGATCCCAGAAAACCTGTACATCTCTGTTGCTTTTCTCATGGGAAACCGAGCGATGTCCTCGTAGCGCACCAACATGTAGCGGCCGCGCAGCCAAGGTGGCTGTCTGAGGCCAACCTCTGCAGACAGTCTGATGTTGTCGCAGTTACCCTTCAGCTTCATCACCTCAGCAAAATCAAGGGACACATTTCCACCCATAGCCCACTCCTTCCAGTTCTTGTACTTGGCAGCGAATGCCACCATGCGTGAGGCCAATACAGCCCGAGGGTCCCGAACTAGCTGGATGAATCTAACGTCAAGACGTGGATCCTCGGCTAACGGACGCAGATTCTCAAGCTGGCGTACCCTAACAGACTTGATAACCTTGTGTTTCTTGTTCAGGCAAGACTTGGACGCCATTGTCAGGTTCAGGGGTCCGCATCGTCTTGTCTTGCAGTGGTAGCGCTCAAAGACTCCCTTGACGAAAGGGCTGCAGATGGACTCCTCACACAGAGAGATGCTGGATTCCCTGCGAAAAAGAGCCGTAGTGATGTGGTTCACAGGAAGGGGGTCGATGAAACTTTCCAGCAAGGAAAAGTCACACAGGAAGAGCTGCTGGAGCACGTCACGGTACGCCTTGGCCGAAGCTGTAGCGTTGGTGCCCCCGGTCTCCAAAGTCAACATCTTCTCCACGTGCCACAGTGGCTCAAACAGGTAAAACATGTTGTCACCCTGCTGGTTGAAAAACTCGCCTACAAATGAGGAGCCAGTCCTGGTGGTGGCCAACAGGAGCACATGTTGCCTTCCCCTTTTCATCACCTCGCTGTAGTTCTCCAGGCGCCGCTTCATCAGCACAAAGTCCTTGCCGAGCAAAGGGAAGGAGGCATTGCGCTTCAGCAGAAGGTGGGAGAAAACATCTGGCTGCGGAGGGTCTTGTGGGGTGTGCTTTGACGTGATTTTATCTGACACCCTGAAAATAGGAGAATAACCCCAGTTATGTTTTTGTAACATTTTAATCATAGCCTTGTTGTTTACATTCACAGCTGGTGATTTGATCAATTTACCTTGAGATTATCTTGTTCTCTTTCTCGATGACGACAAGCGCCACGAAGAAGACGATGGGCATGGTGTATTTGATCCTCATTCTTGTCTGGCTATTATGTCACACGCTGCTACTTAATAGGTTCTGCCAATCTTGCGAGTCTCCGGTTACCTTCCTAAAGAGCCTTCCAGTTGTTTGTGTTCCCTGTTGTTGGTGATGTTTCTTCCTGTAAAATGAAACGAACATCAAACCCGTCAGCTACACATTTTTCTCATTTAAGGAAAGCTGAGCACCGACTTTGTCTTAATCCTTTCTGTTACAACACTGTGAAATTTACTTACCATCAGGGGGAAGTTGATGCTGTTACTTGAAATGTACAACTGCACCGTGATGCTTAGTCACATAAGCGTTTATAAAAATGCTTATTTATGTTCTGAAGACTTCCTTTACTTTTAGGGTGTGCATTTTTACGTGAGGCTCTGTGTTCTGCAAAAAATAAGATGAAAGCATTTACCTAAGAACAAAATAATATATACCAGAACATAAGAATTGAAAATAACCAGTGTGTTACAACCGAATCTAAGCTGTGAGGAAGTCCTTGTTATCTTTAAGTGCACCGGTGCATTTTAAGCATATGCCCACCCACCATGCCAGACTGGAGGGCTGCTGCACACAGAGACACGCTGTATTTATGAGTTTGTGTTATTTTTCTATTGGCGGCTCCCTTCTGTAGGGGTTGCTACAGCGAGTGAACTCGCATGAAAGATTATACTATTGTTTCACGCCAGATGCTCTTCCTGATGCAACCTGGGCTCTAACCAGCAGCCTCAGGATTATGTGGCCATCGAGCTGCACATTTAGAAGTTAGTGCAATATTATTAATATATATATATATATATATATATATATGTGAGCAGAAAAATAACAGTGAGAGTATCAGACTGCAATCAAGCACAGTTTTTACAATTACACTGGTCATACCACAACTTTAGAACTGCATTTCCAAATGAAAAATCACAATGTCTGTCTATAAGTGATTCTCTCTACCCCCTGCAAATGTAGGCATCCTCTTTGACCTCATCTGTTTTTGTGCCTCCAAATCATAGAGTAGTGAGGGTGTACAGTATGTGTGCAATGCCTGAAACTGAAAAGGAACAGCCTCCTTACAGAGTCATAAATTGTGGTGCTCTAAACTTAGGGGACCAGTCGGGATATTTCTAAGCCTGGTGAGTAGTCAAATGAAGATGAGATTAGATGTAATGGCATCTGTTTGTGAGCATCTTTCACAATCCTGAAGGGTTAATTTTAGTTTACTTTGAATATAATGGCAGCTAGACTGAGATCCCTGACAAATCTTTAGCGTAATCCTACCCGTTTCCTGTTAATGAATGGATTAGCAACACTTCAAGAGTAAACGATACAGCCTCCACACTGTAGACATTTGCAAAGAGTCAGAAATCTGTTAGCGTTATCAGCAGAGCCTCGTGCCTCTTCACTTTTTCACTGTCTGATTTAAATATACTAGTACAAAAGTAAGTGAAGTTTTTCACAGATTAAAAACTGCATTGCCGCAGAGTTTTGGATCACCTTTGGATGTTTTTTGTTAAGACGGTTAAAAGGTGCATTATGATAATCTAAATGAAAGGAAATAAACGCATGGATGATCATCTTATTAACGTCAGATTTAGGAGGAGCTCTGGCTTTTGTCCTGGTTGTAATAATTGACCAGATCTTTACCCTTGAGGAGTTACTACGAGGGTCGAGGAAGTTTGACTAACAGAACAGCAAGAGAAGGCTTATGACCAGTTCCTTAAGGTTTCTGTGGTGGGTGAAATTATGGGGTGTCAGGGTCAACTTTAATTGTTATCCAGTCTTTTCAAACCAGAATAAGAGCTGTTTCCACATTCCACTTGTTCCTGGCGAAAGATGAACTCTGTATGCTCTTATGCATTCTAAAGCCCGGTATGATTCGAACCGACCATAGTCGGCCCAGTCCTGGTCTTCCCCAGCTCTGGTTGTTTGCGTTCAGCAGAGTGCTGCCTCGATGTGGGCGGGATCATCATAGCAAGACCGCACGAATCTCAGCTCAGCAATAACTGCACCTCGTTGTTTAACCGGGGCACTGGTGCTATCTTTTGCGTTGCCATTATTCCTAAAGAAAATTAGGAGTTGGAAATGGTGCTAAGGAGCAGTCGCTGGGAGTATGACTCATCTGTGATGGGACCCCCATGCCAGCGAACCAATCAAGGGCCAGCAGTCTGCTGACATCAAGTCTGCAGCAGCAGCCCGGCCTGAATAGAACCCCAGGACTCTGGGTTCCAAAAACTGAGCTGGAACTGGGCCAGACTGCCCAAAGCCAACACTCACAACCCGGGGCAGGCCAGTCCAGGCCGGGCCGGGCCTTACAATGCACAAGGGCCATATGTAGGCTGTCCTTTGTCTCTGGTCCCGTTTGCGGTGTTTATAAACAAGGTCACAAGGTGCATTCAGTAATGAGGGTGTTGCTCCGTTCTGTCATGATGAAGAAGGATCTGAGCCCAAAAACAAAGCTCTTTAAGGCACAACCTAAGAGGGATGGATGGATGGATGGATGGATGAACATCTCCAGTTTGTATTTTGACAAAAAACCTTCTTAATTAGAAAGTATTTCTCTAATACAATGAACAGTTTTGGAGCAGCTATTTGCAGTAGCCTTCAAGAAACATTGATTGGTGGAAAACAACACCCATGTTCCTCAAGTCTAACTCAACAGCAGAGTTTAAATTATCGATTGGTTGCCTGATCAGGGGGGTCGTGCTGTCTGGAGTAAGGATTAGATGTTCTGTCTCATTTAAGTTTGATTTGAGGTGGTTCTTTTTCATCCAGTAAGTAATTTCTGACAGGTACTGAGGGAATTCTGAAAGTTTAAAGAACTGACGATCCTTGAAGGAACTGTGCAAGAAGTTGTCCACTTATGAGATATGAAATGTATTAATCTGTCTGCACAAAAAGGCCTGGCCAACTTTTTTTTCCCTAAATTATGACAATCCTGACGTGTCTTGAAATGAACAAATGTGAGGGCTTTGGTTCCTGTATCCTGTTGCAATCAATGCCCCTGCAAGCACAAAAGCAGGTCCAAAATTAGTCCAGTCTAAACACAGAGGACAGTTGGACACTGGCTGTGAAATTCTCTGAGTGGGAACAGGAAGTTTGCTGCTCCAGTGGAGCGCTGTTGACGTGGAACAGCATGTAATGAAAAGGTGAACAGCCTGTGCACAGAAATGTGTTTTCATTGGAAGGAAAAGTCAGCCCCTGTCTTGCACCACCCTGCTGCATGCCACAACCACAAAGATCCCTTTACACAGTGACTCTGGACCTTTTCTTTGGTGGGGGGTGAGACGGCAGAACATAAACTGCCGGGTCATTCACATGTCACGCTGTTGGGGATTGAGTCTCTGGATGTTACAACTCAAACACAACTGCTCAGACGTCAAGAAATGTAAGGAGATCCCAGCCTATTTGCTCTGTAGTCTAAAATGACTCTAATGATAGGTTTGACAAATAAGACCTGGGAAGACAGTTATGGCACTTTTTTCCACAGCTGCGCAACTCACTGTACACCTTTTTCAAGATTTAAAGGAATATTCCACATCAATAATTTGTCAAGTAAACAAGTAGTCAGATGTTTTGTCATTTATATAGTAAATTAGATGTACACCAATTATCTCAGCTTATTGCATCTGCTCTGTAAAGAGAAGAAGAAGAAAAAAAAAAAAGCCCACATGAGCTGACATTCGTGAATATTTACAAACCACTGAGGCATATGACACGTTTGATCATCTGCTCATAACAAAACCGCTGGTGCACCATTTATCATCTTGTTACAAATGGTTTTAATAGCTGCCTCTTATTTAATGTAAATCTTATGTGAAGACAAATTAAACAGCAGCCACCCAAGCCTGCTTTGCATGGAACAGTACTCCGAGTGTTCATTAGAGTTTCGGTACAGATGAATGTAAAAAGATACAGTTTTGTTTATTTATCTCTAAAACAAGGTGAATTGTTGAAACGTGCATGTATCCAGATTAAGAAAAGAAAAATATATATTTTGGATTCAAACAAGTTGTTGAAATGGGGTTATAAAGGTATAATAAATAAAATGTCTTGCATTTCTGAAAAAAAAATAGGTTGACTCCAGAAGTTATGGTCAAGGTTTTAGGCAAAGATGTCATGTGATCTGCTCAAAGAATGTGTTGAGGATAATGCTCAGCTACTACCACACCAAGTTTTAGATCAGCGTTTCTAAATTTAGCTGAGTTATACACTTTTTTTATTTATTTTCCAAGGGAAGTTGGCTGTGGCAGCCATCTTGAATTGGATTGACTCCAAAAGTTAAACAGTTATAGATGTACAATAAGGGATTACGTTCTGTGAGATTCATTAAAATCCATTCAGATTTTCATGAGATATTTTACTAAAAGACGGACAGAGTTGACTCTGAATAGATGATGGCAAAGTTTAAAAAAATAAAATAAAAGATCTTGCACAATCTGTTAGCTTTTAGAATGTGTGTTGAGTATTAGCCTCAGCTACAACCACAATAAACTAAATACTGTATAAGCTAAATTGATTGAGAGATGTCTGTGTGTTTTACGATCAGCTGGTTGTGGCAGGTGTACACCTAGCGTTAATCAGTTGTGAAGGTGAACTCAATGATAGATTCCTGAAAATATTAAAATCTGTCTAGTGGTTCATGAGATATTTTGCTACACACACAGGCTAAAGCATTATTGCCCAGAAGAGAAAATTAAAGGATGCATCGATATTGAATGAATTATATTTGGATAGATTCAACAGCATTGTTTATATTTAGGTAATTTTTGCACATCCTATTGTTTTTTTGTTTGTTTTTTTTGTGTGTGTGTTTTTTTACATTTGTTTGCTGACATTATCTTCTATCTTCCTAATCGTGGCCATGTTCTAAAAAAGAAACAAGGTGGGCTTAAAATGGAATATCACCTAATGCTAAAGGTGAATGAAAGAGCGATTGTGTTTTTGCCCCTGTGTGCATGTGTATGTTTCTTAAGAACCACGAGGCAGATTTTAACGAAACTCAAACAATAACCATTGCATGTTCATCAACCCACTTCAAGATGGCTGCTACAGCAACAACCGACCACTGAAAAAGCTACAACTCGGCCAATTTAACAGATTTTGAGGTAAAATTTGGGGTATAACTGAGCATTATGCCCAATGCATAATTTGAGTGCAACACTTTCTGTAAAGCTTTTGCCTCAAAACTTGGCATTAACTGTTGGATTAGACTAATTTGTCTGTTAGCAAAATATCTAATGAACCATTGAAAAAACTGTAATAAAAGTTCTAATTTAATAAAAGTATTAATCGGATGGACACAGCTTTATTAAACTTTGGAGTCAACCCTTTTCAAAATGGCCACCACATCTACTGGATCTAGACCAGGGTTCTGCAACTTTTGATTAAAAGAGCCATTTTTAAACCTTCAATCACTAAATGTGTCCAGAGCCACAAAAACCTGCTACAACTGTGACTATCAACTGGTGGCCCATGGGCCACTTTAGGTTTGTTGGAGGAGACATTTGTGGCCTGTAGGGATGACATTATAAAGCTAAAAATATCTAATGATTTTTAACATTTATTGATATTTTTACATTTTAAGACAAATGAAAAGACCAGATTCTTGTAAAGAGGGGGGAAAATAGTAAAAATAAATAAATGAATAAACTATGCAGACCTACATGATTTGTTTCAATTGTGGGAAAAATAATTAAGTATAGAAATAAAGCAAAAAGTTAAAGTGAGTATTTTCAATTCAATTCAATTCAGTTTATTTATAAAGCGCCAAATCACAACAAAGTTGTCTCAGGGCACGTTACAAGAACATTCACATAAAAGCCAGTTAGTAAAGTTCTCTATCTAAGGAATCCAGCAGACAAGTTGAATCTTGGCTTCATTGCAGTCTCCCATCCTGAGCAAGCACAGTGGCAACAGTGGAAAGGAAAAACTCCCTTTTAAAAGGAAGAAACCTCCAGCAGAACCAGGCTCAGGACAAGCGGCCATCTGCTTTGACCGGCTGGTTGAGAGGACAGTATTTTCAAAAGAAATGACAGGAAAACTGCTAAAACTAGTACTTTTTTGTTGTTTGTATAACAACCAATAAAATTCTGTTTCATGTTAGTTTTGTTCAAAGCTTGAAAGAGCCGCTGCAGAGGGACCAAACAGCCGCATGTGGCTCCAGAGCCACAGATTGCAGACCCCTGATCTAGACAAAATTTACTCTACCTCAATTAGTTTCACAAATATTGAGTTCTACTTCGTGTGGTAGTAGCTGACAGTCATTCACAGCCCCTTCATGGTGCAAACAGATAATGCAAGCTCTCACATTACAGCATGAGACTGAATAGAAATCATGCAAAACATTCAATGGACATGCTTGCAATGATTTAAAGTAAACAAGAAATAAAGCCTGCAGGAGTAAAAACGGCTTAGAAGGTTATGAGGACCAATTGAGCTCATGCTGTTCTGATCAAAAAGGGGGGAAATGTGACTTTATTGCACTTTGATATTAATAACATTTATGTGTTGTACAGCAGGTTGCAGTAATAAAGTAGTCTCTTACAAAACACGCAAAGAACCCACCAGCTCTGGGGTGCGACCATCCACTTGCTCAGCCTCTTCTGAAGGTGAAATGATGACTCCATTACTTTCAAATCATCTGCGTGACTTAAAAACAATCCGATCCTAAATAAAAAAAATTAAAAAATTGCATCTGGCCTAGTTTCATTTCGTACAGTGCGAGAGAAGGATAAAAACATGTTGAGTAGGTTGGCGGCTCCCCAGAATGACAAGGCTGCCCATGGGTCGCAGCTCACCGAGTCCCAGGGAGAAAACTTTTGTTTGAGAGGAGCGGAGTTAGAGCAAGAGGCGCTCTGTCACGGCCCCTCACGGGGGCCCACAACTTAACTGGAAGCATTTTTCAACTTTACACACTTAGACTGTTTTATAGGCAGCAGAAAAGATTTAAAAAATTTAGAGTTATGATCCAAAACTTAAATGAAATGTAGCGTCTTTATGGTGTTTTAAAAGCTGGTAGTCGTTGAGATAGAAAGGAACAAGATTGCCATCTAGTGGCGTAATACAAAAACTGCAACATCATGTATCATACAATAATCCAGGTAGAAAAATCTAAAAAAGTTAAGTTAGGTCGTCTCGTGGGTTAAAAAAAAAACTTATTTTTGAAGCCTAAAAAATTGTATTTGTAGTAAAAAAAAAAAAAAAAAACTTTTTTTTATAAATGCTAAAAGAGCATTTAGCATGTGACCAGCTAGTTTTGAATGTCAACAAACTGGTTGATTCACTATGAGAAGGTGTTATTTATAAGACTGAGCTTAGTACAGCTCCCCAGACTGAAAAATTTTTTCGAATGAAAGACGAAACATTTCTACTTTTTTTTTTTATAAACCCATCCAGAGGACCTGACAACTTTTTTAGATGCAACATCATGGATGAATGGAAAACGCACAGGCCTAATACCATACTGTACAAAGCAGTTAGTTTAGCCTAAATATTTTAAAACTGACTTGAGCCACAGTCAGATTTTCTAAATGACATTTAAAGGTTTTTTTTTTTTTTTTTTAACACATCAGTTATGTTTTCCCACTCATTTTCAAAACAATCCCTGCTCTTGAGAAAAAGATCAGATGCTATTAAAATAGTAAAAATGTTTAACAAAACTGACAAGTAACAGATAAAAGAATACTGGTCTAAAGGCTAACTACAAACTAGAAACAATTTTGAAAAAAAAAATCTAATAAAGACTTGACACATGACCTGATAGATGTATAAACCTTTATTTTATACATATGTTGTTTCACAAGTGCTAAATGCTATGAGAACCTCCCTTTTTGTGCTGAAATATTATTTGGTTTTGTTAAAAACAGCCAATAAAACGTCTATATTACAAAACAATGCATCACAACACACTATACGACTGCTGTTTATTAATAAGCAATATAATTCTAACAGTACATTCTCTACAATAATAAATGCAGATTGTCTGACATTTAAAATAAAGTTACAAAACACATTTTGTGTAACATTCTAACATGTTCTTTTATGTAGGCTACTGAGATACTTAATTCGATGATGAATCAATTGGTGGGAAAAAACAAAAATAATTTTACAGAGTTATGTTTTTATTTCAGTTTTGTGTTTTACGATCATCTACTACACGAGCGTTTGCAGATTTTTTTTTTTACTTTATTGAATTACTGAACATACAGAACAAAAGAACAAAAGAACACAAATAGAACAACAAATGACCATCTCAAATTACAATGATACATATAAACATATACAAATATCTACAATCATACCTCCTAAGGTCAACATATTCTTAAACGAATTATCATATCAACCATCATAAACTTAAAATTAGGTAATGATACTATTTGAGAGTTTGCAAATAATATAGTACAGTAAATTAAACAACTAACTATTTATCTAAGAATCTACATAATTACTAAAATAATTTGTCAGAGGGCTATATTATCTGAGCGAGGTGATCAGAGAGCTTTTTTACTTGTGGTTTTTTAGCACTGTCTAATGAAAGTTTTAACAACTGGAATTCTTGTTTGAATACAGACCATAATGGTTTAGACTTGCCATATCTGCATTTATGTATATAGAATTTTAATATTATGATAATGTTATTGACAAAGTATTCATCTTTTTTTATTTTCAGATACATATCCATACAATATATTCTGAACGGAGAAGGAGTCTATGTTCATAGATTTGATGGTCAGGAGATCGTGAAGGGATTTCCATAATGTGTTCACAGAATGACAGAAATAAAATAAATGTTCTGTTGTTTCAGGTTCGTTACATATATAACAGTTATCGCATTCAAATTTAAATCTATTTCTGATAAACTCGTAAGAAGGATAAATATTATTTAGAGTTTTGAAATGTAATTCTTTATATTTAGGTGGAAGAGGGAAACCCAGATATGTTGTCATTATTTTTATTCTTACCTTCTTATCAGAGAAATCGTGAAACGTTCTTCTTACCTGACCAGTATATATTGTTTTTATTAAATGCTGTCTTAAAAAATTGTTGCATTTATTGTGTGTTAAGTTTAGTCCATTGAGATTGATGCTCGGTAAACTAATTGTTGGTTTAGTTTCATAATTGTTCTTTATTAACTGAACAAATGCAGTGGGTATATTTTTTTGTTACTTTATCATAGTCGCGTTTGCAGATTTTGAACTACAAATCCCACAAACGATGTCGCTTAATGATGACGCAACATCCAGAAAATTCCGGAAGCTCTTATCAGAGCGTTGCAAAAACACTTGCGTCAGAAACTTGCGCACTTGTAATTAGAAAGGTGAACGGCGAGCCTTGCTCTTGGTAATTGTCCTTTACATGTTGTTAAAAACGAGCTTAATTTTCACTTGCAATTATTTGCAGTTCATTTTGTTTGTTTAGTATTCTGATTTAAGAAGGTTTTAGGAACTTGATAGCCATTTCGTGTACGTAAATTAAACGTTGCTAACGCGTTAGCTGTTTCTGGCATCTCCAGTGCTACATATTGCTGTTGATATTGTTACAGACAGTAACGGTATATTTGATTTGTTTGCTATTTTGTTTTACTTACGACTAACTGATTTTTGTTAATAGTCAATGCACGGACTTTCCATGACAACAGTCAGCTTCTTTTGCTCACTTTTTGCTTACTTTTCAGACAGATACAGACTATAAAAAGACACGGTGAACATGTTGGTGGCAAGGCTGACATGTCTGAGGAGTCTCCCGCTAGTCGGGCTCCGTCCTGTGCTGTCACAAGGCTCCTCAGCCCTGAAGACACCCACCCTGAAGACCTGTACACCCCTCCTCACACCCCAGCAGGTACTTATCTTAATTCTGGTATGCAGAGTATTCAAAAAGCGTTCAATACAAAAACAACTGGACTTTATTTGTAACAGAAGACGTTTCGTCTAAAGACAAAACACTAACAAAACACCCATACACAAACAGAGTGGTGTAGTGTATGCGGTCCAGTGCAGCGAGGACTGTCCAGACCTCTCTCTACATTGGAGAAACTAAACAGCCTCTTCACAGACGCATGGCTCAACACAGGAGAGCCATCTCCACAGGACAAGACTCGGCTGTTCACCTCCACCTCACAGATAAGGGACACTCTTTTGAGGACCAAAATGTGCACATTTTGGACCGAGAACACAGATGGTTTGAGAGGGGGGTGAAGGAGGCAATTTATGTAAAAAGAGAAAAGCCGTCTCTTAACAGAGGAGGAGGCCTCAGATTTACACGTTCTAAAACCTATAATGCAACTTTAAAACAGATTCCCAGCCGTTTTTTCACACCTGATGGGAACAGATGGGCCTCGTCTGTGTATTAGATGAACAAAAGACTCTTACTATCCTGATGCATGCTCAATCTTACTGTTAATGTTTGTTTAGGTGTGAATTGCCAATCTACGTATGTGTGTGTGTCTTATCTCACTCAGCCTTATAACCTGTATCTCTCACTCTCTGCTCTTTGAATTGAGAAAGCTCCTCGGATGAGGAGCGAAACGTCTTCTGTTACAAATAAAGTCCAGTTGTTTTTGTATTGAACGCTTTTTGAATTCATCATGTCCTGGATGACTGAGAATCTTCACCAGCGGTATGCAGAGTACTTCACTGTTTCCTTGTGTATTCTGGTTGCTAAACTCTGTCTGTATAATAAGACTAATGGTTGCAAGACACAACTGAATTTGGTCACTTTCCACTAGTAGACAGGTCCCTGTATCAACTGGTGTCCATTATTAAACCTTACACTTGACATTTTTTTTAAATGTTTTTTTTTCCCACTATGTTTATATATTTTAATGTTTCAAAGCATTAACATTATGTACTGTTAGCATGTTTTATAGTTTTTTTTTATGATCTCGTGAACTCTTACACACAAGCTTTACAGACATGAAGTCACTTAAGTCTGTTAGAGTTTAGTGATTAGGCCGTTGGGTGGAGACATTGTCAGACAAAGCTCTTAAGAGATGTCCTGCATGCTCATTAATCCAGGTAGAAAAGTATAACAAAGTTAAGCCATGTCCTCTGGATGGTTTTATCTTATTGAAACGTTTCGTCTTTTGTCCAAAATACTTCTTCAGTCTGAGGAGATGCAACAAACTCAAGTTTAAGTTCATTGTTCTAAATAGCACCTTCGCATAGTGGATCAACCTGTTGGCTGGTGCTCAGGTGGTTCTTGTAGTCCGCCCTCTCCCCCGCCGCCTGCTCGAACTCTCAAACTAGTTTGAGACAATCTTGGCCAAAGTGGTTCATAATATTCTGATGCATGCTCAATAATCCAGGTAGAAAAATCCAACAAGGTTAAGGTCCTTTGGACAGTTTCTTCTTGTTGAAGACAAGAAACAGCAACAAAAGAAATCGTCCAGAGGACCTGACTTAACTTTGTTGGACTCTTAAGATATGATTTACCTTTGAAAACAAAAGCTCTTCAGTTTATGGTTTAGCACACTGGAAAAAATTTTTTTTTTAAAAGCCTTCCACCAGTAGAACTTGTTGTTTGCTTATAACATTTATGGTTCTACACATATTTACTGCTGTGTCAATCTAAGTTGTCATTTTTCTGATTGTTTCTAATGTAACTGGAAACACTACCAGTTAAATAACAGCTCTAAATCAGAATTTGGCATTCAACTTTTTCTTTTTTTATTAGGGTTATGCCTCCAAGGCCAGATTTGGATTTCGCCGTGTGAAGACCACCAGGGAGCAGCTCAAAGAAGCAGCTTTTGAACCAGCAACAGATACAGCCATGAAAAGTAAATAATTTATTCTTCTGTACTGTATCCTTACGTCTTGTTCCGTGTTCTGCACCGTTAAGCTTTACTGAAGCACAAACCGATCAAAATCTCAAAAATATAATGATCTCAATTGGTTTGAAGCCCTTTGTGACTGTAATTGTTTAAAAAAAATTCTTAAGATAAACTATTCATAATATTGAGTAATGAAAATTCAAGAATATATATAAATTTATTTTCTAATTTTGCTAGTTGAAAGCATGGGAAAGATAGTTCTGGCTGGAGGTGCAGTCGTGGGTCTTGGAGCTTTGTGCTACTATGGACTCGGCATGTCCAGTGAAATTGGTGCCATTGAGAAAGCAATGTGAGTAGCAGCTCGGTTTTTAATCGGCATATCATGAATTTTATTATAAATGACATATCTTTTGAATACATTTGTCGTACCATCTAAAGAATAATTTACTCCGTGTGTAGGATCTGGCCTCAGTATGTGAAGGACAGGATCCACTCCACCTACATGTACTTTGCAGGCAGCGTTGGACTCACAGCTCTGTCGGCTGTAGCTGTGAGCAGAACCCCGGCACTCATGGGTCTGATGATGAGAGGATCCTGGCTGGTGAGCTTTGCAACTAAGATGGAATTTCCCCTCAATTAATTTCAGTATTAAAATGAAACTAATGTTTACAGAACTTGTAGGTGGTTAGAAAAAAGTGACATTTCCAAACATAATTCATTTGAACTGTCGTTTGTATTCCAGGCGATTGGAGCAACTTTTGCAGCAATGATCGGTGCAGGGATGCTGGTTAGGTCCATTTCATATGAGCACAGCCCTATGCCCAAACATCTTGCTTGGATGCTTCATGCAGGTTTGCTGTTCAGTGCCTTGCTCTAACTTGTTCAGAACCATTTCAGTTACGTAGTTGCATAGTTTAAACACTAGAGGGCAGCAGGATAAAAGTTCACAGGAAACGAACCCTGATGTTTTTTAAATCTATACGTTCCCTTTACATTTATTGCACAGTTTATTTTTTATTTGTATTTATTAGTCTGTTGCCTTTTTTTTTTCTTTAGGTGTGATGGGCGCTGTCATCGCTCCACTCACTCTTCTCGGAGGACCTCTGATGATGAGGGCTGCCTGGTACACAGCAGGCATTGTGGGAGGCCTTTCTACGGTGGCCATGTGTGCCCCAAGCGAGAAGTTCCTCAACATGGGAGGGCCATTGGCTGTCGGCTTTGGAGTGGTGTTCGCTTCCTCTATTGGTTAGTAAAGTTAATTCTCAGTTCCTAAACTCACTATTAAAAGTACATTATTTATTTTAAAGATGACCAATCTTTCACAAAGGGAGTACTGCGGTGATTAGCCTTGTTAAAATTAATTAATGACGGCTGTTGTATTTTATAGAGAAAAATGCAATTTATCATAAAGAAAAAAAACAGTATAGTCATTTATTTTGTTTATATCAAAAGCATCTTTGAAATCAACAAAAAAGGTTGAATCATGTCATCTGGACTTCGTTTTTTTGTTAAAAAAGAAACGTTTCGCCCCTCGTCCAAGAGGCTTCGTCAGTCTGAGGCCTAGCCATCTGGTATTACCCAGAAGCCACCCTGACTCTTGTGTTTCAAGCCTGCCTCAGATACCCCTGAAGTCTGGCCTTTTCACTAATGGTTTCAAAAACACAAAGTTTGTTTTCTCAGTCATCCATCATGACATGATTCAACCTTTTTTGTTGTTATATACCTGGATGACTGAGAAAACAAACTTTGTATCTTTGAAATCATGTATACCAGTAATTCCTGCCATTATGTGGAAACAAATTAGGAGACGTTGAAGCTGTTACTTGAAAAACTTCAAGCTTTTAGCTGGTACAAATCGAACATGTTGTGAACAACTTTGTGTAGAATAATCCCTGTTGTGCCAAGTAAAATACGTCAACCACTTTCACAAAACTTATCTTCAAATACAATGTTTATGCAAATTAAATCATTTGTCATCTTGCAAATATTAGAGTATCATTAGTTTGTAGGAGCAGCACGGTGGCACAACTGGTAGAGCTGCTGCCTCTCAGCGAGCGGGTCCTTGGTTCAAACCCCGGTCCAGGGGCCTTTCTGGATGGAGTTTGCATGTTCTCTCCGTGCATGCGTGGGTTTTCTCCGGGTACTCCGGTTTCCTCCCACAGACCAAAAACATGCATGTTAGGCTGATTGATAACTCTAAATTGTCCCTAGGTGTGACTGAGAGAGTGAATGATTGTTTGTCTCTGTGTCCCTGTGATGGACTTGCGACCCGTCCAGGGTGTACCCCGCCCCTCGCACAGTGATTGCTGGACATGGGCACCAGTGACCCAAAATGGAATAAGCAGGTAAAGATAATGGATGGATGGATAGTTTGTAGGAATTTATCTGTTGATATTATAGCTTTAAAATCAGAGTAACGTGAAATTTAGCAACTCCTTTTATAGGCATGAACACTGACTTTTTAAAATTAAAATGTATATAGTTGACATCAGCTAGAATCAGGTGAAGTGTGTAACATCCAGAGTAATTGTCCCATGCCTACTAATTAGATATTGTGTAAAGTGTACCCAGCTGTATAAACATTTAAAAAGGAAGAGTTTTAATTTTAGTTTAGGTAACTCCATAATAATCTTAATTATTGTACGTACCAAATGAAGAATAGTGCAGGTCTTGGTGGTGACTTTGAATCCAAAGCTACAGCGAGTCTTACGATTACTTTTTTTCTCTCTCTTGTCTCTCCAGGGTCGATGTTCCTACCTCCATCCTCAGCATTCGGAGCAGGCTTATACTCTATCGCCATCTACGGAGGCCTCGTCCTGTTCAGCATGTTCCTCCTCTATGATACACAGAAGGTTATAAAGAGGGCGGAGTCACACCCGTTGTATGGCGTACAAAAATATGACCCCATCAATGCGTAAGTCGCTCTAAGAATTGCCGTATTTTCCGGCGTGTAAGTCGCATCAGTCAAAAAATCATCATTAAGAGGGAAAAAAACATAAGTCGCATTTATTATGCGTTACCGCTGATCCGTTGCGTTTATTACACGTTTAACAGTCAAAACAGCTTCATTTCGCCTGGGCGACGCGCCTCCATCGCATCGCAGCCAGAGCCACTAGCTCTCCAGCGTTCCTCCGCCTGCACCAGCTGAGTGAAGAGAGCGCGCACGGGAGGACTCACTGTTGCAGTTCTTTGAAATTTAAAGCGTCAAAAATTGCGTTATGAATATGGTGGTAAAAGTATATAAGACGCTTTGGTGTTTAAGTCTACGCAAAAAAATCTATGCAAAAAAACTGTGACTTATATGCTGGAAAATACAGTACATTGTTTTTTTATATCTATGGAGTACTTTTTGTGATGTGCTAAGTGTGAATCTCGTGCTCTGATCCTACAGGTGTATGGGGATCTACATGGACACACTGAACATTTTCATCAGGCTGGTGATGATTCTGGCTGGTGGCGGCAACAAAAGGAAATAAAACTCAGGATGGCTTCTGCTCCACTTTTTATGTTCCACAAAGCTGAAACAGTCATGTTTATCCCAGTCAGCATAAACTGGTTTTATCTTTTATGTACAAGTCTTTATGTGGGCTGGTAGACAAACATTAACGTTTTGCAAGTGACTGCACTCTGATCTGCTTGTTGCAAGTCAGGAAGACAAATTGATGTAAAGGATGTTTTGAGATGGAGTCATTCGATTTTGGAAGCAGGTTTAGTTTTTTCTCCTAAGGTTGCACATCTGGTAAATAAAATCTAAGTGATGTTACCAGGAGTGGGTTTTTTTTTTCATTTAGTTTTTCTATTCATTTCATTCAGAATTAAAGTTTAAAATGTTACAAGCAGAAATGTCAACCACATAATTTTCCATATTGGCAGAAAAGAAACCCACAGAACTGTATGTACATGCTTAAAAAGTCCAGATGTTTTACCTCTTTAATCAAAGATACGAGTTCATGTGTTTCAGGGAGTTTGGGAAACTTCAACATTACTTAATAAACCAGTTAAAATGAAGAATTCTGTATGTTGCACTTTGAGTTTGTGACTTTTATAATGGTCTGTATTAAAGCACTGAGCAAATCTACCAAATGTAAATGTGGTCCTTCCACAAAATACATTATTTTTACATATTGCCACTATAAAAGTACATGAGTAAAAACACTGGGTACAGCTGTTTTTTTTTTTTTTAAATATCGTGGCTTGCATTAATAGCAATAGCACTTCCTTGTTAGAATATTTTTAGGTGACCAAAAATATTTGATTTGGCTTTTAAGACCAAAATTTTATTCTAACTTGGGATTTTTTTTTTCTAATATTGCGTACAGTGCATGACTAGATACAAAGTCAGTGTATTAGATGAAAACACTTTTTCTTTAATGATAATAAATGCACTATTTACCATCAATCTTTGATAAGTAAATGTGCAAATGCTCAAACTGAACTTCATAGATAAATGCATATTTCCACAGTTGAATTCAATGAAAATTTCAATTTCTGTTGTGCAGCGAGTCCTGTAAATATTTTTGGTGCTAAGATCTTAAATTTTCAAGTTTCAAACCAACAAATAAACACTTGTAAAATTCAGGAGCCTGCAAGTCTAATTTTTAAACGTCTAAAACTAATTTCCATCTATCGGCTTAAACTCTTAAGCTCCTGCTGCTGCTACAAAGTAATCTGATAGCAAAAATCAAGTATTTATCTGCACCCTGTGGAGCAGTGGGGTCCACACTGTGGCTCCTCTCCCCTTAAACAAGTCGGCGTGAAGCAGCAGATGACAAAAGCTTAGTGTAGTAATCCTCTTGTCCACCATCTGGCTGCGCCTCTAAAATTAAACCGTCAAACCAGGGCACTTGCAGCAGATGCTAACATCTGTAAATAAGCAGGTGTTTGGTTAAGACGCGCACACGTGGAGCTCGCAGCTGCTATCAGTGTTTAAAACCTCACAGATCATGTGAATGGTTTGGACACGTTATATGAAAACAGTCTAATGGGAAAGATGAAGGGCACAAAAACGGACAGGATTGGCCGAAGCTTCAGTGTGATGTGCCATCGGCTGAGATAGAAGCTGCCGTCTGTCATTTTTAGATTGATGGATAATTGGTTGGAGTCCAAGGTTAGATGTCCAGGCAGATTATGCGTTTGTCTGGAAAACAAGCAGAAAAGACAAACAGCATTTGTATCCATGATTATAAAACTTAATTAATTTGATTTATATGTACATAGTTGCTTGTACAAGTATCCACTTCTTCCTTTATGAGTCATGGGCGTCACTGGTGCCCATATCCAGCAATCACTGTGCGAGAGGTCAGGGACACCTTGGACAGGTCTCCAGTCCATCACAGGGACACACAGACACAAATGAAACAACCATTCACTCTCACCTAGGGACAATTTAAATTTACCAATCAGTCTAACATGCGTGTTTTGGTCTGGGAGGAAACAGGAGTACCCAAATCCACGCATGCATGGAGAGAATATACAAACTCCACCCAGAAATGGGATTAACCTGTATAAATAAAGAATGAATGAATGAAAAAAAGGCTCCTGGCCGGGATTCGATCTTGCAATCTGCTCACTGAGAGGCATCATCTCCACCGAGCCACCGTGCTGCCTAGAACTTCCTTCATTTCTTTATCAGGAACTATAGATGACTGACTCTAGTGAACTTTTCCAATCCGTATTGCTTAATTATGAAAACATGTTTATTTCAACGAAGCATGAAGGTAAAACAGAAGAGTACAAATGATTATTAAAATAAAAATAACTAATGTAAGAAGCCCATTTTTTTTCTTGATTTACATAAACTCGGACGGATAATCACAGAATAACTTTGATTTATCAGGACAACTTTGTATTGTATTGTCATTCCTCTCTAATGGAACAGAAACGTGTCGGTTTTAGCACAACAGAATCATCAAATCCTTTCTGTAAAGTGGCCATAAGCCATTTCTCAAGAATATCAGCAAAGAATGACTCATCTGACTGCAGCAACATCACTACACTACAAAATCTAACACGTTGTTTTAACTGGGGGGAAAAAAATCAAAGCAGTGCCTCAAAATGAAAAATAGAAGTCCTACTAACCTTTGTGATATCTTGTTAAAATGTGTTAGTTTATGTTATGGATATTATATTTGATTGAAGTTCTAGGTAGCTGCTGAAGCATGCAAATCCATGTCTGCTTCATAAAAATCTATGTTTTAATAAAATTTTGTTTCCGTTAAATCGATGTGGACTAGTTAATTGATAAATCTGCACAAAATAATTTAATCTGCAAAGCCATTTTATCTTAATTAAAGTGTCTGGTCTTTTGAGAGAGATTTTTTTGATTAAGCTAAAACGTTATTTTCAACAAAACAGTGGCTTTTAGAATATTTTTGTCTTGTGAAATAAATATTCGTACTACATTTAACCTACTTGACAAGGTAATAGCTACACTGACTTTTCAATACTATTTTGTAAACCTTTACAACATATTACATGGTTGTCATTAATGATGATTAATTAGTTTAGTTAGTTTAATTAGTTTAGTTTAGCTTTCTACAACAGGTAAGATGTTAATTGTTTGCACAGAACTCCAGTTCAAAAATGTTTGAAGTGAAACTGTGTCAAATCTTAGGAGACAAAAAGCTGGGAGGATGGGTTTAGTCTGGATGAGAAGTGACACAAAACTTCAAATTCACCCATATGACTGATCTCCGAAGAGTTTTCCTCATGACATTTTAACATTTTGTGTATTTATTTGACTTTTTTTATAACTAAAAACCTCCAAAATGTGTACTTTGTGATGATTTTTTTAATCATAACTGTATTTAAGATAAGATGACATTGGTGTGGGAATGAGCTGGAATTTGTTATCATATTCTCTTAGATGTGTAATGCTGGAGACTATTTTTACACCTGTGAATCCAGCAGGCGCACACTCTGCACCTCCGCTTGAGTCAGTACAGTTAACACTAGCTGCTGAAACGTCAGACAAATGTGCACTCGCTTTGACACCTGCTAATGCGCACGTTTGGTTTAAGAACAGACAGAAAAAAGGTGCTAAATCTCTTTTCTGGACTGAGTGGAAATTGTGTTCAAAAATAACGATGACGTTTCTTAAGTGTCATCAAGGTTGTTGGTTGCAAAGCGTCATAATTGTCAAGATTTGTTCTTGGAAAATTGGGATTATGAACAAAGTGGCTTTGGCACACTTCAGCTGCTGGTGATTAAGATATATTCTATTTTTGAAATGTAGTTTTTCTTTAATGATAAGCTATCTGGTTAAAAATGGTACATTCAACCTTTATTTATACAGTGTAGTCTCATTGAGCCACGAGGACTCATTTACAAGAGAGACCTGTTTAACAGATGAGGTACACTCAACAATACACAATCATATAAAAAGCAAAATGAAAAGTAATTAGAAGAAATGCAATGAAAACTAAACAAAAACAGCTACATTATAAAGCAATGTAAAATACTAAAAAAAGGAACAAGTCTGCATTGGTTTTTGCCATGAACTTAGCAACTGTTTAAGGCCCTGTTTATACGAAAACAATTTCTGGTGAAAATGGAAGAGTTTCGTTGTGTTTGTACTGTTCATTTACACGAAAATAGAAAATGTTTTCTCTGACAACGGCACAATTTAAGAACGTGTTCGAGAGTGCAGTGGTTCAAAAACGTCCTTGTGTTCGTTGTCATGTAAACAGGAAAAAAAAAAAAGATATTTTCTTTCAGGGAATCCCTAACTCATGCGCAGTATGACGCAAAACATAACTTTCATTCATTCAACCTTTATTTAGACAGATAAGTCACATTGAGCCTAGAAGACTCATTTACAAGTGTGATCTGTTTAGACAGACAAAAAGTACTGAAACTGGACGCATGTAGGAATTGGAGGCAAAAAAAATTCCTATCAGACTTTTTTTTCCTGCCTGAGAAGAAAAAACTCTGATATTAAAAAACACCTCGCACAAACAAGCACATAGTGATGTAGACATTTTGCAGAGGGGTACGACGAGAGCGGTGAGCATAATCATAGACGCTCTCAAGGGCACCGTAAGAGTCCTGATAAGGATGGAATAATCAGCCAGTGTCCTCCAGTGAGATCCGTAAACATTCTCGAGGGATGTCGAGGAATGGCCAAGAATAACAATTATGAGGATCCAAGAGTCCTGAAATGATGACACAAAGTTTATTCAGCTGGTTTCATCTGGTTATCAGTTGGAAATTCCTAAGGGAGGGGGTGGTGAGTGTCAGATCACATGTTCTCCAGGTGAATTCAGATAAGATTACTTTCAAGGCCAGCCAAGGGAGCCAAATTCGGATAAACACACAATTGTTTTAGGGACAGGCAGGACTTAATGACATCAATCTTGAGTCTGTGTTGGTCCAAGCGGTTCTAAAATGTCCAAATTAAATGGCCACACCGATGGAACGTGACTGAGTAAAATCCCCTAGATCTGATTCATTCTGCCCAAAGCATTTGAGTCTGGGTACTCGAGACACGAACCAAGCCATCATAAAGGCAAGCAGCGTGATCGGGTCCAAATTTGCTGCCAACGACTTCCTTGGTTATAGATAAAATCAGCAACCAGCCGAATCCAAAAAGCAAGAACCAGTTATCGTAAATCCAATTAAATATGCATCCTTGAAATCCACAAATGGTTTCAGAGATAGACACATCCTCAAGTCTTCCAAGTTGATGAGATATCCAGCTGCGTGTGTGCCAACAGGGCAAACTGGTTTGCCTAAAGCCTGTCTTCTCTTCAAAGAAATGTTGTAAATTGTTTTGAGGGACGAACTGATCAAAACAACTCCAGAACTATGGTTCAGAAGATGCAAGAGAGGCTCAGAATAAGTTCACACACAGACAGAGCAGCAAAGCAAAGCAGAGAGGGAGGGGATGGGAAAGTATCCGATCTCAGCAAGAGCAAGTGGTGGCTTCCTATAATCCACAGAAGAATAAACAATCAACAATGGCGGATACCAGAGTATTGTTTGTGCTTCTGACTCTGTGGCTCTCCAACACAGTGCTCATTTTCTACCTCTTTACTTAAATCATCAAAAACTGATCTCATACAACGTCACTCACCCTAAGCAACAGTTGAAGCTCGTCGTCTGTCCATAGAAATATTTTATTCTCTGCCATCTTGACCATTGTAGCAGCTTTCCGGTAGAACATTTTTTTACACATTCGCACTTAGAATTTCAAGTTTCGAAGAACATAGCAAAGTGGCGTGACGAGGGAATTACACTGTTTCTACGTTTACCGTTGCTGTGTAAACAAAGATTGTAATTAGAATGTTTTCATGTAAATGTGTTAATAGAAATGGGGGGGGGGGGTCTGTTTTCATTGTATCGTTGTCCTGTAAATGGACAAAATCCCTTAGAGAGATCAAGGTTGAGAGCTTGAGATATTTTTGCAAAGTGTTCTAGGTTACAGGAGCAGAGTAGGAGAAGACAAATTTGCTTAGTTCAGTTAGCACTGAGGGAACATTGCAAGTAATTATGTCCTGAGAGTGCACGCTGTAGCTGCACTCATGCAGTGACATGTAGGAGGAGATGTGTACAGTATGTAGGCAACAGACCAAGAAGTGATTTAAAGATGAAAATGTACCAGTGTGAGAGTCTGCGTGAAGTTAATGATGACCAATTGACCAATGAATACAGGATGCAGTGATGGGTACGGTAGTTACAGCCAGTTATGAATCTTAGTGCATCGTGATAGACAGCATCCAACATCTGCAGGGTGCAGGAGTATTCATGTAAATAATGTCACCATAGTCAATGGAGGGGAGGAAAGTCACAGTTACGAGGCATTTCCTAGTGTTCAGAGTTAAACAGAATTTATTTCTGAAAAAGAAACCCAATTTAACTTTAAATTTCTTTACCAAGTTTTCAACATGAGATTTAAGAGGTGCGACTCGACCACAATGCCCAATATTTATAAGAATCTACAAACTCAATATGGACACCATTCGAAGATAAGATAGAAGGAAGGACTGCTGGTACAGACTTCCTGTCTGAAAACAACATTCCTTTGTTTTTATCAGCGGTTAGACCAGTTTAAGATGGAACAATCTGACTGGATGATGTTGAAAGCGGACTATAAGAGCTGGAAAACCTTAGTAAATGTTTTAGCTCGACAGTAAACAACTGTGTCGTCAGCATAGAAATGTAAGGATGCATCAGGAATGATCGTACCTACATTATATATGAAGAGGGTGGGTCCTAATACTGAGCCTTGTGGTACACCATTATTAACAGTTAAATAGCTGGAAGAAGTACCATTATGTTGAACACATTGCCTCCGATCTGAGAGATAAGGAGAACCAGCCAATAGTGTGATCTGTCTGAGAAACCAATTTCAGAGACCTTATGACATAAAATGTCATGGTCCACAGTGTCAAAAGCATCAAACACGTGTTAATGTTTTGTGTCTTGAGGTGTAGTGACCCTAAAGGTCAGTAGGTTTCTTGAAAAAAAAAAGGACTTTAAAGGACAGAGAAAGTCTCAATATCTAATCAATGAGGGGCCTTCCAACCATGTAAACACAGCACCGTGAGTATTAAAAATCTGATTTATCAGTCATCACAGATGCAGATTTAAGTACCCTTCATCACATGTGTGCTGAGGTGTAATTTTCACACCACACTGTGTGAAACCTGAACTCTCTTCCCCCCCATGTTTAGTTTTTAGGATGGATCTGGAGTGTGAGCAGTGAGGCAGAAGATGTCTGCAAAGAGGAGGGATGCGTCACTGGATTAGCGCCTGAGAATCTGCCTCAGACTTTTCTTCACTCTGAGCCTGCTGAGACGCCTCCACAAGGGCACGACACTCGCCGCTCGCTTCCCCTCCACCAAGCCTTCCACATGAGTCAGCCAAGCCTTACCTCCGCACCAGGATGAAGAAAAATAAGAAAACACACGTGTTCCTCTTTCTCCTGCTGCTTCATTACAGTTCAGGTAGGTTTTTCTTTTTTATTCCTGTGTGCGCGTGTGTGAGTAAGGATAAGACTTCTTGGCTTGCTCTTATCTGTTTAATCCTCAAACACAGAGAGGGCATGTTCATTTTAGAGTGGACCGTTTATACCCATTACAACTCGTATAAATCATTGTGCACTGATACATTATTTTTTTAAAGAGTTAAACCTCATATTCACTGTATTGATGATTTAACTCCTATTTACTCCTCACTACTGCTTTTAATTACTGCTCTTTTTTGCTAATCATTGCATCAATTATCAGTCAAACCTTGATAAAAATGTTTAAAAAAAAAAACTAGGATATGTTAAAATCCACATAATTTATACACATTTTTGCAGATTTATGCAGTGTCTAGAGTAACTATGAATACTTCTTTCTCCTTCTTTCTTAAATAACTTGGACCATTTTTATGTTTTTCATGAAGGCCAATCAGACTATGCCCCATATTTTTATGACAATGGACCAAGTAGCACAAGTGGAAATATGGCCTTGTTCAGCATCTCTGAGGATACACCTGTTGGTATGTTTCATTAACATAGATTGTGTTGTACCAGTATACCAGTATATTCTCAGTAATTTGGAAAAAGATTTGTAAACTATATGGATGGATGAATGGGATGTTTTGGAGGATGTTTGGTGTGATTACCGTTGAAAACCTTTCTTGGGTGTAAAATAAACATGTAAAATGCTCCTGCTAATCACTGTAATACCTTTTGGATTGTGACGTATGGCAAGACTGACAGAAAGAAAACAATATGGGCGGTGGCTCATCTGAGCTGACTATAAAAAACAAAGTGAAAGGCACTTTTATCTTTATTTACATTTTTCTTTATGGATTCCTCCCTGTAGGAACACAGATATACATCCTGAATGGTACGGATCCAGAGGGAGATCCGGTACAATACGGTCTCACTTTTGAAAAGGGCTCCACAGAATATTTCAGGGTGGATCCCAAATCAGGAAACGTGACTCTGAATCAGGAGCTGGACAGAGAGGCAAGCCTAAAACATCAAGACTCTTCACTTTGATGCAAAAATGGCTCTTTGGCTAAGTGTCGATAACAAAAGTCAGTAAAAATGACAACGTCGATTTTATTTTCATAGAAGCAAGATGAAATTGCTGTGACAGTGAGCATAACAGATGGGCGCAACAAAGTAAGTTTAATGATGCATTGCTGTTTTTTGTATTTCTTATTAATTATTTTCATAAACTACACCCAATGTCTTGTTGTTTCATTGTATACCAATTGTGACATTCATTTAAAACAGTTAAGAAAAGGAAACTTCTCACATGAGCATAAAGAATGCAAAATAGGTCAGATAAAAGCAGAAACACTGAAGGAAGCATCATGTTCAACACTTGATTGAAATGTTTACAGTTTCAGGTAAACGGCACATTCATTATCGCCAAACAAGACAAGTGGATAATAAATGTAGATGTGTGTTTGCATTAGCATCAGCAAAATAACTCATGAAACCACTGGAAAGTAATCACTGGGTGCCCATCTACAACTGATTACCAGTTCAAGATAGGGATGCACGATATTGGATTTTTGGCCGATACGCCGATATGTTAAAACTTATTTGGCCGATAACAGATACCGATATTTTTATATACTTTCCTTTGTCAGAACATCGCCCTCTTATTTAGACGTATTTGCTACAAAAATTGTGTAACAGCTGCAAGAGCTGGTGACATACAGTATATCCAGTAACAGCCATATGCATAGCACTTTAACTTATATTAAATGAAAAGTGTTAAATATGATTTATTAGCATTAGTCACCTACGATGCTGTCACACTTGTGGAGGCTTGTTCCAGGTTCCTAGCTGCAGTGTGGGATCCTCTGCACTCATGTGCATGAAGGACATGGGGGTCGAGATGGTGTAGAGGTAGGGCAGCCAGCTCGGGACCCCAAAGTCCCAGGTTCGATCCACGGTCAGTGCACACCTTGTGGTGTCTCTGGGCAGCACGCCTCATCCTCAAAATGCCCCTAGTGGTGGATGGGTTAAATGCAGAGACTAATTTCACCATTGTATGGAAACATACAGTAATGACAATGTGATGACATTATTATTCTTAAGTTCAAAGTTTTTGTCTATCCATTGTGCCGTAAGACTAATCATGCTAACGGGGCTAACACTTGACGTCCAAATGTTTGTGGTAAAACTCACCCAAGTGCTATCGGCTATTAGCTTTTCAATGATGTCAGAAATGACGGCTTGTAACTCGGGTAAGGCTACGTTGGAAAAATATCTCAGACTGGGGACGATGTAGCGAGGCTCAAAATAGTCCAAAAATCTTCAGAATCCAATATCCTCAACAACAAAACAAACTTCCACACCACCAACATTTTGACTTCTTCCTTTCCACTGTGATCAGATCAGGTAGACGCGCATGACGTCGTCACGTTGTGCTAGCGATGCAGGCATCCTTGTCACTGGGTTGTCATACAAAAACAGTGTCTTTTTTGCCGATGCCCGATATTTAACTTAAACGCTAATATCGACCGATACCAATACCATCCCAATAATATTGTGCATCCCTATTTCAAGATGGCTGCCACAGTTAAGCAGCCTTAGCAAACATACAAATGGCTACACTTTGGTCACTTTTACAAACATCGAGCTCAAGTTTGATGTATCTGTAGCTGAGTATCATCTTCAATACACATTCTAATCGCTAACACATTTTAATAATAATAATAATAATGTCATCACAATGTCAGCACTGTATGTTTCCATACAATGGCGAAATTAGTCTCTGCATTTAACCCATCCACCACCAGGTGGTGCAGTGGGCAGCTATTGAAAGCGCCCGGGGGACATTTTGGGGATGAGACGTGCTGCCCAGAGACACCACGTGATGTGCAGTGACTGGGGATCGAACCTGGGACTTTCGGGTCCCAAGCCGGCTGCCCTGCCTCTACACCATCTCGGCCCCCATACATTTTGCAAGATTTTCTAATATTGCATGAGATTGTACAGAACATATTTTAAAAAGGTTGGACCAAAACATCTACAACTCTGTTTCTTCTCATGAAATGATTTAGTTTAAAACTCTGACACGAAAGGGTACAGACGATGTGCATTTGCAATATAGAATAAAGAATTTTAGTACGACGCAGACGAAATAAACAAAAGGTAACAAAGCAGTTTTCATGTACAGCTGAAAATTTGTTTTCACGTTGCTTTCAGGTTGTTGAGACAGTGAGAGTTTTTGTGACGGATGCCAACGATGAGCCGCCTGAATTTCAAAACCTGCCTTTCATCATTGAGGTTCCAGAGGTATAAACACATAACCACTTGGGAAATATCTTTATCTGACAATGACACCAATTAAACCTGGAATGTGAAATAAAAGTGGGGTTTTAACATGAACAAATGTCTTTTTACCAGAACACTGCTCCGGGAAGCAGCATCTACAGAGTCCGTGCTGTGGACAAAGACCTGGGTTCAGGAGGCAGCGTCTCTTATTACCTACAGGTGATGGCAACACTATCTGAACATGTCCAACTGAACTCAAACAAAAAAGACATTTTAGGGGATTTTGATGCATTTTAAGCATCAAATTCTTGCAGTTCTTTGGTTCTAAATCTTTTTTTTTTCCCAGCTCAAATGAAAAAAGCATATTTCTAGTTAATAATGAATCCAGAAACTAATATTCCCCAAAATATCAAAGCTGATTTTGGCGACTGTGGTTAGAGCAGTCGTCCTCCAATGCAAGAGTTGGGGGTTTGATTCCACCAGCAGTCACATGCCAAAGTGTCCCTGGGCAAGACACTGAATCTCTCAATGCCTCTGATGTGTGTCCCTTCGGTGTATGAATGTGAAAAAGCACTGATTAATCTTTGTATAGAAATAGTAGAGTGCTGTATGAATGGGTAAATGAAGGCACATAATGTAGTGTAAAGTGCTTTGAGTATCTTGATAAGATAGAAAGGCGCTATATAAGTGCAGTCCATTTACCATTTTCTACCAGTCTTCACTGTCCCGTTGACCTAAAAAGTCAAGGTCAAGGTGTCTTTATTGTCATTCGCACCACATGTAGTGCATGTGATGGAACAAAATTGTGCACACAGGATCCCAGTTACATTCGACCATAATACAAATTGTAAAGAAAAACAGTAGTAATATCTAAGATATGAACTAAGAAATATGCTAAACTAAGAATATACTAAGCACTAATAAAACACAACAAAGCGCCAAACAACAGCAGCATGAACATGAGTCTGCATGAGCAGATGAGGACGAATGAACACAGCAACATGAAATAAATCAGCAGCATGAGATCAGCATCATGGATAGTCAGTAGAACATATCAACAACCAAGTGGCATTACAGTGATTTTTTTCACAGAAATTTTCACAATGATAATCCTGACTATGGATTCATGAGTCTAACAGCCTAAGGGTAGAAGCTGTTCCTCAGCCTAGTGGTTCTACACTTAATACTCCTCAGCCTTCTACCTGATGAGAGTGGTGCAAAAAGTGTGTATGCTGGATGAGTGGGGTCCTTCATGATGCAGGTGGCCCTCTTCCTGCATCTGGAGATGTAGATGTCTGTGATGGTGGGGAGGCTGACTCCAACGGTCTTCTGTGCAGCCTTCACCACTCTCTTTTTTTTCAAGTGTTCTTTTACCTGCAACAGCAAAACATTTGCAGAAGTTAACACGAGGTCACCTGAGCAGAGGTGATCCACGCTTGCTTGTGTTTAGTTCAACCTTGAGCTCATTATTTTGACACCTTCATCGCTTTTAAGATCATTTCACTCAGACCTCAACTTGATTTAAACGTTTCATCAAAGTTTAGGTTCCATGGCTGATTTCAGACTATTTGTTCATATTTGTATTGCTTGAAAAATGTGCTCTTTCCACTTTCCAAATTGATTCATATCCAAATATAAACTCTGTTAGCTGGTTTGATATGACCCGAACATTCAGGGTTAAGAGCACGGGTCAAGCTGTCACCATGAGAGCAATTCTGCCATGTGGAGGGACCAAAGGGGCATTCATGTGGTGGGGAAAGCACACTGTGGGAAGGATTAATCATACCAGAGAACAGTCTGGAAATCACTTTAGTGGATTAAATTTCAATTACATTTGTGCAAAGCATTGAGGAATTAATAAAGGCTTAGGTCTGGTGACCGCTGACAGCGCAGTAGTGTTCACGTGTCGACTGTCACATTTAATTATTCGTAAATAAAAATGGTTTAACTGAAGCAAGTTGAGGAGGGATGGTGTTGATCAAAGGTTTATTTTGCTCTTGGTCATGTGGCAACAAGTTTTTCTGCTTTGTAACAACCTTATTAGAAAGAAATGTACATGTTGCATGTTCTATACATGACAGATCTGTTATCTCCCAATGAGGACATCGCATTACCTATCAGTAAATCTTATTTTTCCATGACAAATGTCTTCTGTCCCACTAAGTGTTTGACTCTTTATGTCATTAGAGTTCCTCGTTTGCCAAATTCACCATTGATGGACACAGCGGGATCCTCAGAGTCAAACCTGGCAAGAGTTTGGACTACGAAACCACATTAACTCACTTTGTGACAGTGGTTGCAAAGGTGAGAGGCTGATTCTGCTGCAAACACGTATTAGCACTTTAGCTTGTAGACGCTCAGCTGTCAGAAATTTCCTTTTTTTTCTGTGCTGTATCACTGAACATTCAAGCTATGTGTTGGAGGAAGATGGCAAGACCATGATTAAATCTCCTTATCTAATTTAAATAAGTACAGTACACGAAAAGTCTAAGAATTTATTGTCAAAATTGTTTTACGAAGAGTATTGTTGTTGACATGTTTATTCCAGTGTTCTTGTAAATAAAACCTTCTGAAGGCCAAGTTTTAATTAAATCCTGCAAAGCGATGCAAGTTCTCTCTCCCAACACTCCTCCCGCCTAAAGGAACATTTTGACAACTTGTTTATCTTTTTTTTTCTTGGCGTTCGACTGCTTCTCAAAGGCTAAACCTGCAATGAATTTCTGACTTAATCAAAGTCATGCATCAATAGGCAATTTAAATCACTTCCAATATCCAAAACAACAAGAACAAAAGCAGTCAGTCAAATCCTTATTAATATGTTTGATTAAAAACAAAAAAATCAATAAGTAAAAAATAATAAATAGATAAAAAAGCCTCATCTTTCTACTTCCAAAAAAAGGTGTGTACTTTGTCTCAATAATAGAACAACTCAAGCAAGTTATGAAGTCATGAAAAAGGGCGGGGATTAGAATAATCATTTTTAAGGATAATACACAAAAATGACAAGAAAAAGACAAATAAACAGAATTTAAAATCACTTAATTTGGCTCAGATTTGTGTTTGGTATGTTAACAGTTCTTAATATGGACTACAAAATTAAACATTTAATAGTGTGAATGCTTACGAAGCATTGTGATCCATTTTTCTTCTGTACGTTTTCAAGCTATTTCAACAAATCATAAATCAAAACAATCAGCTCTTTCAGGACAATCCTGCTATGGCTTTTAGTATTGGTGCAACCTTAGCTTTTTGAAATATTTAGCCTTTTCTGCCACTTTTTGTTTTTCATAGAAAATGAATTGAGCTCATTTTCCATCCTTCAGATCTTTAGATCTGTTTACAACCTTTTACTGCTCCTTCACATTTTGTTCTGGTTCAGTTTCTTCCTTGCGCACATTTAAACTTTTTCTCAGCTATTATCAGCTAATTTCAGTTTGTTTGGTGTTTTTTCAGCTGTTTTGGTCTCCTTTAAGTTTCTTTCTGCTAACTATAACATTTTTGTGCTTCTTCTAACTTCTTTCAGCTTGTTATGCTCCTTTCAGCTTTTTGCTGCAAGTTGTAGCTATTTCTACCATTTCCTCTACTGTTTAGCTGTTTTTTCTGCTAATTTAAGCTTTTTCAGCTAATTCCACATTTTTTTGCACTCTTTTCAACTTTTTTCAGCCCAATTCGGCAAAAACGTGCTCTCTCCAATTCCTTCTTGTAGTTTCAGCTTCTTTCTGCTTTTTAAGGTACTTTTCAGCTATTTTTATTTTTTGCTAATTTCAGCTTTTTTTCAGATAGTCTATTTTTTGTGATCATTTCTGAACCTTTCAGCCTAATTGGGCAAATAAATTAGCATAAAAAGGCAAAAAGAACATGTTCTTTCATGTTCTTTCTGCCTTTTTATGCTAATTTAAGCTTGTACCACATTTTCAGCTAACTTTTTTTTAGCATTTTTAGCTAATTTCAACTGTTTTTAGATAAATTCAAGTTATTCATACATGGGAATTCCTGCTGCTTTTAGGATGATTTACTTCTTTATGCTTGTTATGCTTGTTTCAGCTTTTTTCTGTTATTTCTGCTATTAATTAGCTGTTTTATGCAAATTTTTACGTTTTCAGCTGATTTCACCTTTTTGAATTCATTTCAGCTCTTTCCTCTTCATTCTAGTTATTTAAGCTTCTTTCTGCCTTTTCAGCTGTTTTTTAGCTATTTTTGCTAATTTCAGCTTTTTTTTTTTTTAATCTTTTTTTTGGTGTGTGCTTGATTTTTGTTCTTAAACCTAATTCAGCAAATATGTGCTACTTTTGCTTTCTTCTGCTACTTAAGGCTAGTTCTTCATTTCAGCTACATTCCAGCATGTTTTTAGCTAATTTCAGCTGTTTTTCCAGTAAATTGTTCTGCAATAAGCATTCACACTGTATTTTCACAGGAAATGCAATTTCTCTAGTTTTCTATGATTTACTAAATATTTTCAGGATGACAATTTAAACTAGTCAAACATGTTGAAACAAATTTTAAATAAGATATAGTGGCTTCCTAAATCTAACAAGACATCATTACTTTGTTATAAAGTGTTACTAAACCAAGAGCAAGATCAACTCATCAAGTTAGTTTAACACATGGCTTCTTATCAGTTCTGGCAATAAGTAATGTGATACATTTAATTTTTTTCCCCAGTCTGCATAGAGTTAGTTAAAAAGGTTCAAAATATCTTATAATCAAACAAAATCATTTTGTCAAAACAAATTTTATGTGGAAGGTTGCGTAAACATGCAAGGATCATGAAATCCCTTGATTTCCAAACGTTAAATGAAAACTTATCAAACACATTTTTTGACTTTATGCACTTAAAGGCGTTTCCCATGTTTTGCTGAAATTTGCAGTATTTTTAGCCGATTGACATGAAAAGACCCTTCCATGCTTCTGTCCTTCACCCACAAGCCCAATTTAGCCAGAATTTTTTTCTAATTTGACACTTCATTATTCATTTGTGTACATTTTAGACCAGGGCTATTCAACTAAATTGCTCAGGGGGCCACAGTTACTGAAAGCCAAGAGCTCAGGGGCCAGAAAAACATCCGTTATTGTCATTAATTAAGGTTGTTTTACTATTTTAAATCTAGTTTTATTTAAAAATGGTGGGCCGAACTGAGCTCAGCAGTGGGCCTGATTTGGCTCCTGGGCCGCCAGTTGTTTTAGACCTACTTAATTGCTTTTTTGTTTTGTTTTTTTGCTTTAAATTTGTAATAACTGTTATTAACTTAGCGTATTAACTTTGTGTTTATTGTTTTTCAGGATGGAGGTGGGAAGTGCAAGGGGAAACATCAGGTGTTGACTTCCACAGCCACTGTAACTATCAATGTTCTGGATGCCCAAGACATGCCTCCAGCCTTTGTAGGGACTCCATACTTTGGCTACATCTATGAAGTTTCTGTCCCTGTAAAAATGACAAAAAACTTATTTTTTTAGCATTTAATTTAGTCATATTGTTGCTTCTGTTTACACTAGTTAATTTATTTATTTTCCTCCCTAGGGTTCAGAAATATACACAGTGTTCGCTAAAGATGGAGATCAAGGCAATCCCAACGCCATACATTATTCCATCATAAATGGTATGAAAAATGAAACATATGTCAAATGAAGCTGTTGTTTTGATGATGTTGCACATTTTTTAAAATAACTGAGATTAATTCCAAATGCAACATTTCTGTCATCATTTTGCAGGCAGTGATGGTGTTTTTGAAATAAATAGCACCAGTGGATGCATCACTCTGTCAACCCCACCGTCTTTGCTGGAAAATGAGCTCTATGAAATAAAAGTTAAGGTAATAATGTTCTTTTTTTCCCATCTTTTTCATTCATTCTTTGAGGATTAGTCTTTGAAATCTTGTTACCACGTTTAAATCCAGGCGTCTGAGATTGGGCCGAGTAACCAAATGCTGGACTTCGACATCGCCACAGTGACAGTGCGGGTGGTGGATCTAAACAACCATCCTCCAACCTTCTATGGAGAAAACGGACCACAGAGCAAGTTTGAGGTGACAATGTACGAGCATCCACCTGCAGGGGAGATCCTCCGAGGCTTTAAGATCACAGTCAATGACTCTGATCAGGTGAGTTTGTTCCCACATTTCCCAGCTCTTGTTGTTCTTATTTTTACATGAATTGTCAGTTTTTTTAGGGTTCGTTGTGTTTTCATGAATAACTTTTCACCTTTTTAGTTAAACTGTGCTGACAGTTATCATAAGTATATACAGTAGTCCCTTGTTTATTGTGGGGTTTAGGGACCACGCCCCCCCCACCCCGCACGATGAATGAAAAGCTGCAAAGTAGGGATAGTAGTACAAGTTCAAGTTGAAGTTCAAGTAAACTTTATTGTCATTAGGAACAAAATTATGTACACAAGAAGTAGTAGTAGTAGTTTATTTTAGTATTTACTGTACAAATTAGTAGTAGTAAGTAGTAGTTCATTTTAGTATTTACTCTAGTAGTAAGTAGTAGTTTATTTTAGTATTTAATGTAGTAGTAGTAGTAAGTAGTAGTTTATTTTATTATTTACTCTAGTAGTAAGTAGTAGTTTATTTTAGAATTTACTGTAGTAGTAATAAGTAGTTTATTTTAGTATTTATATACAGTATATATTAAGGCTTTATAAACCCTTCCCACACTCTTGTAATGTTCTAAACTCTTAAACGTCCTTTTAACAACATGTATACAGAACTGTATGTAGCTACTAAATTTTATTTACTAGCTCTGCAGAACAGCAACAGCTCTGGTTCTGATCCAACTCTGTTCTATTCCGACTCGGTTAGTTTCTGCAGACCTATCCTGCAGCAATGAAGCTCACAAATCAGTCCTCTAAACTCTTGAACCTACTAATTTTAACAACATACTTATCTGAAACTACAAAATTTTACTTACAAGGGCTCTGCAGAACAACAGCAGCTCGGTTCCGTCTGACCCAATAGATGGAAAAAAGTCCTGGTGCAGAATGACAAAGCCCCATCCAGCTTGATATGCGCGTGCTGCCGCTCCAGGAGCAAGGCTGCCCAGGATTTAGTCCACCACCTCTGGGCCAGTCTGGACCAGCACAGCGTGACCAGAACCAGGCTGAACCCTGCAGCCGTCTGTCACCTGCAGCTCCCAGGATCCGGGTCATACTGAGTCCAGATCTTCCTTCCTGCCAGTTCTATGATCTTATCCTTACAGAACTTCTGACTTTGAGTTGCAAAACTTTCCATCCATTTGCAGAAAGCAGCAGTTGGAAGCAGTGTTGTCTTCTGGGAAGTGAACTGATGGCTTCTGGGTAACGTAGTTCTTTAGACTGGCAATACAATGTGGGCTTAATGAAAGAAAACTACAACATGGTGGCGCCTCCTCTAAAAAAAAAAATTTTTTACAATACTGTACGCCCACAAACCGCGATAGAGCGAGTCAGCGAACGTCGAACTGCGAAATAGCGAGGGCCTACTGTACTGCATAAATACATACCTTTCAGTACAAACATGCTTAAGTGAATAAAATGTCCATCATATTTTCTTCGTCTGGCCTCCTGTAACATTAACTACCAGCTTATTTCAATATGACTGTTAAAAATCTACCTTTTGACGAGGACATTATAAATCAAAATAACTTACATTTCACAGTCTCCCTCACTAACTCCACATTTCTGATGGTCGTCAGGGAGCAAACGCTAAATTTAAGCTGAGGCTCGTGGGGCCAAGCCGAGTGCTTCGAGTGGTTCCCCAAACAGTCCTGAATGAAGCTCAGGTGACCATCATCGTGGAGGACACGTCTGGCATCGACTTCGAAAAGGGACAGACCCTCTCTTTCAAGGTGAAACCTCCGTTTTTGTAATTGAATGTTAAAGTAATGATTGTAGTGTTTAATATATTGCATTTTCTTTAAAAGCTAAAGATTGCTTAAATAGTTTTATTTTATTATGACATTTACATGTAGTTTATTTCTTTTTCTGCATGACATTTAATTATCTTAAAAGTTCTTCTTTAACTTAATGACATCCCTGTAAGTCACTCAGAGGAGAAATGAGTTTTCAACATGGAGCTTAGAAAAGAGGCAAACTGAAGGTTTTTTTTAATAAAAAAAAAAAAAA